CTCCATGTTGTTCACACAAACACATACAAACCTCTAAGTTGTTCACAGAAACACACAGACCTCCATGCTGTTCACACAAACCTCCATCTTGTTCACACAAACACACAGACGTCCATGTTGTTCACACAAACACACAAACCTCCATCTTGTTCACACAAACACAGAGACCTCCATATTGTTCATACAAACAGACAGACCTCCATGTTGTTCTCACAAATGGACAGACCTCCATGTTGCTCACATGAACACACACAGACCTCCACATTGTTCACACAAACATACAGACCTCAATGTTGTTCACACAAACACACATACCTCAATGATGTTCACACAAACACACACATATAGATATGTGACCATCAGATGAAGATTGTTGGCTCATATTGATATGGTTTGGATGTAAGGATTCGAGCAAGATGCCAGACAACATGAATGGCTTAAAATGGTTTATTTAGAAAACACTGCTGCTGGTGGTCAAGGTCCTGGAGCAAGCCCAATCTTCTTATGCTGGAATGTGAGCACTTCCTGAAGGATTCGGGCAAGATGATGTCACCTGAGCAGACAGGTATGCAGCAGAGGAGCTGTTTGGAGCGGGATCTAGTCCAGACTAATGTCCAGAGGCGAGAGTCAGGTGGCGAGCAGATGGTCATTACCAGAGGGTCAGAGGTCCTATAAATCCAAGAGAAGAATCTGTGAGGCGTAGTAATTAATCCAGAAGAGCAGGTCGATACCGTGGTCAGATGGGCGATAAAGTAACAGGCAAGGAGCAGACAGCGCAGTAATCCAAAAGACAGGTGTGGGGTCAAGACAAGATAATCTGAGAGCTCTGTCATGAACGCTGGATATCTACTACCTCAAAGGGTTCGATAATCTGGCGGAGAATGACTGTGAGCACGAGGCATAAATAGGGCTTGGAACAGATGGAATGAGCTTGATTGTTCAGAGGTGCAGAGGGGTGTGGTTGGAGAGCAAGGCTTGAGATCAGAGCATGACTTGACAGAAAATGTGACAAAAATGGTGACACTGATCTGGAATGAATTTTTTTTTCTAGCATTCATGTTTCATTATTCTGACACAAGCCTCTCTTACCCTCTTTGTGTCTCCTTCCATTTATTCTAAATATGTGCTTTGTTATGTCCCTTTTCCTGTTTGTCTCCAGCGGTCCCCTTCCCCCTCGCCCACCGGCTGACCATGAAGGAAGTGTTTGACTCAGATGGCCAGCCGCGTGTGGACCTGCTCAAAGCTCATCTCACAAAAGAGGGTCGGCTCGAGGAGGCCGTGGCCCTGCGCATCATCGATGAGGGCGCCGCCATACTGCGCCAGGAGCGCACCATGTTGGATATTGAAGCGCCAGTCACGGGTAAGGTGTTGGGATGCCGACTGAGGAAGTACGGAGGGTAACTGTGATATGTGATTTAGTTTGTGCTCAGTAGAGAGCAGTGGGTTGGCTAAACTTTATTTCAAATAAAAAACATTTGCATCTGTGTGACATCAGGTTAAACTATTACTATGACTATTACTTGGGGAGTGGTGGCACAGAGGTTAGAGAGGTGGGCCTGTGATCCGAAGATCGCCGGTTCACACCCCGGCCCCGACAACATCAAAATTGTGGGTGGGGTAGATGAAGCACCCACACTTGCCCCCACCCTCATTCACCCCACTCTAGGCCCATGAGCAAGGCCCTAAACCCCCATCTGCTCCCTAAACAGGTCTCTCTTGAAAATGAGTTCTCGTGGCTCAATGAGACTACCTGGATAAATAAAGGGTAAATGGAAAAAAAATAATTTTAAACTAAACCCTACTGCACAATAAGATACATTTGGGTGTTATTTTATGAGCTTCACTGGTGATTGTTAGAAGATAGTATATTTTGACAGAGCGATGCTAAACGTTTCCTTCTGTATTCAGCATTTACAATTGTGGTCAGAGGTTTACATACACTCATACAGGCTCAAATATATACATACATTTATCTAAATCTTTTGAGATGTTGTGCTGAAGGTTCTCGAAAGTCTTTCAACATAACAAGGCCAAGGCCTTCTAACATCTTGTTAGTAATTTTGATTGACTGCAGCTGGTAGTTTCTTTTTGCCAGCATAAGATGTTCTGGAATTGTGCTGCTCAAGGTGGCTGCATGTTGGAGTAGCTCTGTTACATAAATTCTGAGAAGTTCCTTTTGGAAACTTAAAAAAAAAAAATTCTGAATGTAAATTGCTCTTTTCGGACAATTACTTTCTCTGGTATCAGATGTTGTGCAACTAGAAGGACTTTTACTGAAACACTTTAAGTTTTGGGCATTTGTTATGATGCGTAACCATGGCAACAAGGTGTTCTTTAACAACCAGGAGCAGCTGATTACCATCTCAAAAGCTCAATAATATCTCAGCTACAGCCCCAAATCTCAAATGAGTTGAAAAGGAGTCTCAATCTACAGTACCCAGTGGAGATACCACCTGAGTTATGGCTAAACCCCACTACAACCTCTCCTCTAAGGGGTATAACGAACTAAGTCTAAACACTTGAGTATTACCCAGAATAATCTTAGGTTAGTTCTACTTAGACTGTGTTGAAGGTGACTCATCAAGATATGTTAACGACCTTCATCTGTGAGCCACACCCTTATCTCACCCAGTGGCTCGCCCAACCTAGCAGCTGGAGTTGAATCGTCATCCACAGGGAAACTCACATCAACGGTCATTCACCTTCGTTGTAGATTGCCAATTCTTACTGATCTGGTTCTTTTTAGAATCCAGAAATAGGATTCCAGAATGTTGTCTTAATACTCACAGCCGAGAAACACGTTTAAAACCTCTCTATTTTGTTAGAGTTGAGCCAAACTTCTTAGGTCGTTTTCACACCAGATAGTCCGGTAGACTCGGTTCGGGACCAATATTCATGACATTTTGTTACATTTGAGCTGGAGCGTTTGCATTCACACTGCACTGTGCAGTCGAGTCAACCTGTTGAACCAACCTGTTGAACCAACCTGTTCCCCCGCTCGCCTGAGGGGGCACTGCACCAAGAACTACTGAAAGAAACGACACAAAAACCTCTGAAGACACGTCTTCTTCTTCTTCTGTAAATAAAAACGAAGTGGCATCACGTTTTAATCAGTTTTAGGAGTTATATTTTGTCATTTTTCAAAAATGGACTTAGCATGAGCAGAAGATGAGACAGAAGACCATGGAGAATATTGTTTTTCCACACAAGGCAGCTGACGGCTCCATATAAGGTAAGAGAAATGTGTGTTTGTTTGTCCTGTGGAGCGGGGCTCGGTCTGTTTACATTCACACGGTACCTGAACCGCGCTGGAGTTCGCTTCTACCGGACCGAGACCTAGGTTTTAGCCCAGGCCAGAGTTTGCCTTTTTGTTCCGTGACAGAGTTCGATGGTGCGTTCACACGTCCCCAAACGAACCGGACTTTCAAGGAAAATGAGCTAGAGTTCGATTAAAGCGGACTAAACAGGGCTGGTGTGAATGCACCCTAAAATCCATGTACATGAGGTGGAAAAATTATAGTCCAGATTTTTAGGTTTTATGCTTTGCTGTAATTAATGATTTGCAAAGGAACAGCGTTTATGCACTATCCAAACAATGATTACATTAATCCCCAAAATGTCCCCCGGGCGCTTTCAATAGCTGCCCACTGCACCACCTGGTGGTGGATGGGTTAAATGCAGAGACTAATTTCGCCATTGTATGGAAACATACAGTGCTGACATTGTGATGACATTATTATTATTATTTTTATTATCTGGTTATATATTAGAATCAGTAATTAAGAGTCCATACATTGCTTGAGGGAGGTTCTTGTTAAATGTTTTTGATTTCCAAAAGATTGGAAGTCCAACTAATGTGGTGATTTCCTTGCTCCAATGAGTTGAGATAGAGTTAGGAGTCCTTAAAGCTCTTATGAGCTGATGGAAGAAAACCTTCCTTTCATCTAGATGGGTGACACCCAGAGTCCTAGCATATGTTAGAACCCCAAAGAACTCTGAAACTCCCTGGTCAACTTACAAGAAATCCTTCCAAACTGTTATTTGTCCTTGTAAAACCTGTTCCACTGTTTGGCATTCATGAACAGAGGACCCAAAATGTTGATAAAATTAATCTGATTCCCGTAATGGTTGGTTGAACTGTCACTATTATTTTGTATAAAATTTGTAAAAGAATGGTAAATCAGAGCGTCCCTTACCATTATTCATTATTAAGAATTCTAGAATTGCGCCGCTCAAGGTGGCTGCATGTTGGAGAAGCTCTGTTACTTTCATTCTGAAATATTACTTTTAAAAACTTTAATTCCTCTTTTTTCTGGATATAAATCGCTTTTTTTGAATGATTATTTCCTCTGATGTCTGATGCTGTGCAGCTGGAAGGATTTTTACAGAATATCTTTGCTTTTGGACATTTGTTATGATGCGTAACCATAACAACAAGGTTGTTTTTTTTACAACCGGGAGCAGCTGATTAACATCTCCAAAACGCAAATAATATCTCAACTACAGTCTCAAATCCCAAATGAGTTGAAAAGGAGGCATCGTGGATGCAGAGCAGGAGCAAAGAAGAGGGAGAAAGAGCGAAGAATGAAGTTTAAACCATTTCTTCCATCAATCATGATGGGCAATGTGAGATTGCTGGGAAACAAGTTGGATGAACTTCAAGCCCTAACAAGGACCCATCCAGAGTATCAGGAATGCAGTGTTATGTGTTTCACTGAGACATGGCTGCAGGATCATATCCCCGACTCCAGCGTTTCCTTGCCAGCATTTCTGACCATACGAGCAGAAGATATTTAAAGAGGAGTGGCAAAAGGAAAGGAGGTGGGTTGGCAGTGCTTGTGAACAACAGATGGTGTAATCCTGGACATGTTACTGTGAAGTGTCGTCTCTGCAGTCTAGATATTGAATTGTTTGCCCTAAGTTGTCGTCCATATTAGAGAGAGTTCACCAGTGTTATTTTGGCAACTGTTTACATTCAACCCAATGCTGTTGCCGAGATTGTGTGTGATGTCATCAGCGCCGAGGTTGCTAAGCTACAGACCCAACACCCTAGTGCTTTTGTTGCAATATCTGGGGATTTTAATCATGCCTCTCTCTCTGCTACACTTCCGACATTCCAACAGTTTGTCAGCTGCTCTACCAGAGAAAACAAAATGCTGGACTTGTTTTATGCAAATGTCAAGGATTCATACATCGCTAAAGCAAGACCCCCTCTTGGCAAATCAGATCACAATCTTGTGTTTCTCTGCTCAAAATATAAACCCCTTGTTCACGGGCAACCTGCAATAAATAGAACAGTGAGAAAATAGTCAATGGAAGCTGAAGAAGCCCTGCGGGGTTGTTTTGAGGCTACAGACTGGGATGCACTGTGCCAGCCACATGGAGAGGACATCAGTGCCATGACTGAGTGTGTGACCGACTATATAAACTTTTGTGTAAACAACACCATCCCAACCAGAACAGAGATGCTTCCCCAGAAACAAACCCTGGATTACCACTGACCTGAAGGAACTGCTAAACCAGAAAAAAGAGCCTTCAGGGAGGGAGACAGGGAATTATTGAGGAGCACACAGAAGCAACTAAAAGTCAAGATAAGAAACAGCAAAGAGGTGTACAAGAAGAAGTTGGAGAGCAAGCTCCAACAGAACAATATCAGAGAGGTGTGGTCAGGGATGAAACAGATCACAGGCTTCAAGCAGAAGGAGGAGCAGAAGGATGGAAGCCTGGACAGAGCCAATGAACTGAACACATTCTTCAATAGGTTCAGTTCAGGAACAAGCTCAGCATCCTCCTCTCTTGCCCACAGCCAGACATAAGGCTGTCCTGTCACACCTCAAATATTGTATCTACCACCTCAGTCATGGACCCCTCTTCTATATATTGGTCTTCAACCAAATCAGAAGATGCTGATACCTCCTTTGCCTCTCCCCTCTGCGTCTCCAGAAGTCAGGTGAGGAAGCAGCTGGAGAGACTGAACCGGAATAAGGCTGCGGGACCAGATGGTGTCAGTCCCAGAGTCCTGAAGGTCTGTGCAGAGCAGCTCTGTGGGGTTCTGCAGCACCTCTTCAACCTTAGCCTGACCCAGGAGAAGGCTCCAGTGTTGTGGAAAACATCCTGTCTTGGTCCAGTACCAAAGAAAACTCACCCCTCAGTCCTCAATGACTATAGACCTGTTGCCCTGACATCCCACATTTTGAAGGTCCTAGAGAGACTTCTGCTGACCCACCTGACTAGACAAACAAGCACATATCAGGACCCACTGCAGTTTGCTTATCAGCGTGGACTTGGAGTTGAAGATGCCATCATACACCTGCTTCAGCAAACTCACTGTCATCTAGAAAAGGCAGACAGTACTGTGAG